AGATAGATAGATGTATAGATATAGATATACATACATACATTTGGAAAAGGTGTGCATATACTTACACATCTTTTATTTTATGTAGTCTGTTTGTCTGTTTGTCCGTCTGTCTGTCTGTACTGTATGTGCGCCACCCATCCCCAGAGGAGCGTGGAAAGATGACCTTCCTCTGGGCCTCGCCGGGCTCAGTTGGCGCTCCACCGCCAGCCAAGGTCCAGGCCTGATGTCGGCGGCCATAATATGCAAATATACAGTTATACCATTCTATTTATCTATCCTTCCATCTATCTATCTATATCTACATACACACACACATACATATATATATATACATATATATATATATATCTGTGTGTGTGTCTCTATATATACAGATAGACATAGATATAGATCTAGTCAGAGATACAGCCAATACCTATTCTGTGTCATGAAATACGCCCTTGAACACAGCCGTGAACCGTCTACCTTCAACTGCCATGTCCTTGTTGTTTGCAGGGTCCCTCCAAGTTTCCTTGTTCTTGGAAAAGCTAAGCAATCCCTGAACCCTAAAGCATCCTAAAGCCTGTTCCAATCAGGGAGCTTACCCTCTAGGCAGCTCCTACTGTGGACCCCGGCACAAAGACCACCGAAGCCGTGGAAGCTGCAAAAACTCCGGCGCCGGAGATCTGCGGCCTGTCGTGGGGTAGAAGGGACACGTTCAGTAGCATGTCGTATAAGTATGCAAATGTAGGTACATAACGTGTATACGCATCTACACATACATGCTCGCACGACGTTGACCTTCTCTTTGCTTATGCAATGCAGCAGTTGTAGCTGGTAGCTCGGAGTCATCGCCGAGTAGCTGAGTAGCTGGTCTGCTGTCGTAAACGAACTTTCACATCACACCCTATATAACTTGCCGTAGATCCCAAGTCCAGATAAGATATCGCTCTGATTTCCGTCGCCGGAACTGAGATTTGGTTTTTGCATCCCTCCCTCCTTCAGGCGGGTGGTACCCGGTCGGAACAACGAAGCCAATGTAGTCTGGGGTGATGCTTGTTTACCTTGTTGGATGCGTGTGTCTCTTTATATGTGTCGCCGAACGTATGTTGCCATCTTGTGTATTGGCCGGTATGCCAGGCCTATGTGTGTATGCAACATGGATAGGTGGATGGACGGGAGGACCGAGGGATGGATGCTGCATGGGACAGGTGGGTATTGGTCCAGTAGGACGGACAGACGGACAGACATGGGAATCAAATCGGCGCCAGCAAGATGCACCTGCACGAGCAAGTTGACCGACGCAGCCATAGACGCCCTAGCTGCCCTGGCTTTCGTGGGATGTTTTCCGCTGTAGGAAAGTGTTGCTTCTGGGACGAGAGGTGTTGTTGTTCAGATGTGGTCGCGCATGTTGAGCCACGGATGCCACTAATGGCAACATCAGTCTTGCGCGCTACAGCTCTGAATGCTGTAGTCTGCAGCAAAGGTGACAGTGCCTCCCTCTGGGTGACAGTCATTCCACCCTCGGTTCTGGCATCCGCGACCTGGCCAGTAATCGTCAGCAGGACCATGCGGATGAGACCATGCTCCTGTCATGGAGTCCAGTGCAGTGGCGAGGCTCATGATAAAAGCCTCGAAGCTGTTGATCAGTGGTTGACCTCTGCGGCTTCAGCCGTTTGCTTGTCACTTTCGTCGACCGTGTCGCTGTCAATCGCCGAGGATTTCGAAGATGCAGATGCCCAGGCGAGGTGACTGGCTGAAGATGTGGCTGATCGATCCTTCTAACACCCTACAATCCCTACAAAACCTCGGCGTGCATGAACATCTCAGGCACCGCTGCACTGAGCCATGTTTTTCAGAAGGTGGAGGCAATTTTGGGCCAAGCCGCCTGACCACAGAGTACTGTAGCCACGCGCACGCACGCGCCTGGGAGAGAGATCCTGGGATTGTCGAACAAACAGCAGCTCCCACTCCCTGAAGTCGGCAAGACTGGAAGCATCAGACGTCGTCCTCTGCAAACTGTCAACAAATCCAAACATCAGCCTCGAGTTTATTTCCAGTGCGAGTATCTGTGCTATCTATCTGAGCCCTACACCTCTCCTCGAAGAAAGACAACAGGTGGCAAGGCACATTATGCGAGAGGCCTTGACGGGCTAGGAGGACTTGTCGAAACCAAAATCAGCCACAAGCGATACATGTTGCACGGCATGCACCCTACATCAAAACCTTCATGTGGTGTACATTGCGAATGTACAGGGTGCAGCCGTCGCAGAAACAGTGCTGGTGTGTTTTAAATTGATTGCGACCAGGGCTCCCAGAGATGGCGCAGCAGAAATGCCTCCGCCCTTGAACGTTTGCCTTGAAAGCTCTACCCATAGGATCCCATAGGCTCCGTTGTAGTTCCTTTGTGGGATTGATCCTCAGCCACACAAAAGGAATTACAATGGAGCCTATGGGTAGAAACAAACCCCGAAGCCTTCAATGTTGGTTTCGGCATCGTCTGACCTTACGTCCTCAGCTGGTGCCGTTCATCGTAGCCCTTATAAGAACCCTCATAGAGCCTTAGCAGCCCTACAGTTACTATAGTGGCCTTTTTTCGAACCCTTTTGAACCTCCACGAAAGGCCGAGGAAGAGCTGGAGCTGAATGCAAAGGCTATGGGCGCCGTCATCGGCAAGGGTGGCAAGGGCATCAAGGAGGTCGAACAGGCTACAGGTGGGCCCGATGTACGCAGGGTTCAGAGCTTCGGGATTTTAGGGTTTGGGCAGGTTTTGGAGCTTCGAGGGTGGTAACAAAAGGCTGTGGCGTGTGAAGACATGGACTTGGTATGCGTTGGACGAGGTTGAGGGTTGGCCGATGCAGACAGCTTGAGGCTGCCGAAGCTTGATGCACTATGCTCGAGGTTCAGGGTTAGCAATTGCTGCCAGTAGGAGGGGTGCCAGATTTCTTTTGTGCTTCCTGGAGTTTATGGCTGCCTGTGAAAGCTTATGCAGCTAAGTGTCTTTGGGAGGACCATCTGGAAAGCACCGAAAGTTTGCCAGGCGTCAAGTCAACATCCCTGGATGCCAAGTGCTACCCTCAGAGTGGAGATTGCATTGGTGAAGCCTGCATGACAACGTCATGGCTATACTGTCCTTCCTGCACAGCTCTATGGCCGATCAGAAAAGGTCACCTGAGGGTGCGCAGTTGCGTCGGCTTGTGCTTCGGGGCACCCGGGCGCAAATCGCGCAGGCGCGTGATTTGTTTGGTGAGGTCCCAATCTTCGGAAAGAAATATACCACATAATAATCTACTGGAGTAGATGCTACACTATTGTTACACTATTTTGGGAGGACCGATGCTTCCCTGGCCAATTCCGATACGAGCCGTTAGTATGCAGGTGTAGGTCTGAGCCACGCTTCGTGGGAAGGCGAAGTCTGCTGTGGAGCAGCGAATCGTCATGGTGTGGCTTGCAGGAAAACGAAGCGGGGATCGGTCCGGTAAAGAGCTAAATGTATGTGTGTGTGTGTATATATATATATAGATAGATAGATAGATAGATAGATAGATAGATGTAGATGACTAGATAGTCTGCATCGAGACGTTCGGAGCGTGCACCCGTGGAATGTGGGAGAGTTATTCCTTGAGGAATACTTGCGGCATTTGCCCGTTGACATTCGTTTCAGGGGCTACTGAGGCGGGGGGGTGGGTGGTATGTGGTGAGATGTCTTCGGCTGTGAGCTTTGCATTGCTCGGAGAGTTGTCAATCTTCTCAGCCAAGGCTAGGAGCCAAGGCGGCCGAAAAGGCAGAGAGCCTGGAGAAAGGGGGTTCTTCGGTTGAGTGTTTCGATGTTTAGCTGCGGCGACCATCCGTGAACCGCGAGGGTTGGACCATGAGTTAGACGAAGCTCGGTTGCCACATGTCTTGTTCCCAGTGTTTCAGATTCTCAGCAATACGGGAGTGTCCAGACCGAGCAGGCCAGCTGCCTTCATCTTGGTAGTCTCTGTTTGCTTTGGCGTTTTGTTTGCTTCTCGTCTTGTTAGCTTTAAGGTCTGAAACGATTTGGAACCTCTAAATCGTTTAAATCCTGTGTCAGTGACGGCAGGTGCAAAAGCACTGGAGCGCCCAGCTTCTCGAAAAGAAGCGCACAGAAACGGGATCGGAGCCTTGGTGCCCCTGAGGCCTTGAGCATGGGAAGATGTTCGAAGACGCGAATTTCAGCTGCATATCGTCACATCAAACAGCGTAAAAGCGCCGAGGAAGCTGCTAAAAGCGGCGTCCGCGGTCTCAGCGAGTTCGTGCTGCCTGGCTTGAGAGTGAGTGAGTGGTGCGAAGCTTGCGACGGCTCGCGACGTCCGGCGTTCAGGATCACATTGTAAGAGCCCAGCCATGCGACTCGATCCAACAGGATACCTTGTCAAAGTCCGTTGGAGACTCAGAGTGGTGCCCTGAGTGCACGGAAGGCTGCATCATGGTCTCAAAGCCGTGATGGCGAGGCTTGTGTGAGTCTGGAGTGGTCTTTTGTTGGATGTCAGACGCTGCAGATGCCCCCGGAGCCTCGAGATGTCACACCAAAGTTTGAAAATGACCTGTTGACGGACCTTCGTGCGCCTGCCTGAAGCGTGAAGCGTTGATAGATAGAGTTCATGGGAGGCGACTGGCGAAGTTGGATGCAATGCTGCAGCGTGCCATGGCAGCAGCGACTATGGCAAAAGAGGCAACATCGAACAGACTGTGATCTACACTGGTTAGTGCCAGCCTTTAAGAACAAGGTCATGGCCCGAACCCAAATGTTGACTGAGTTCATGATACCTACAGTACCTACCACAACGGCTTGGTGCCCGTGCTCAACACAAGCTGCGCTCGAAGGTTACACCATCCGGCACTTCAAGCCCATGCCCCTCGACTCAGCGACTGCTGCCTGTTCAAGGTTTAGGGGCTGCCTGTCGCAGACGTGACATGCTGGCCCTGCGGCTTTTCTGGAAAGTCCACCTCGAGAATGCATAGGAGGCATTCCCTTTCCTGCACTTTGCCTTGTCTGACCCGAAAATCAGCATCCGTTCCGATCAAAGATGACTCATGACATTTCAATTTTGCAGATGAACCCTGACAACGAGGAAAGCCAAGCCGGCCAATGCGCTGCGAGGAGCCCTGCTTCTTCAGGGAGGTGTGTGGGTGGGTGTGCGTGGGTCATAGGGTTGCACCCATCCGCAAATCTGGGCAAGCCAAAAGAAGCGGCTTCGAAAGCTCGCCTGAAGACATAAGCTTAAGGCTGAGGGAACTGAAGCTTCAGAACCCTCGGCTTTTGCCGTCGCCTTTGGTGTTTTTAGCGGTGGCACACCCAAAGCTTGAAAACGAGCACGTGCGCACAGCCATGACGGCCCAACAACGACAGTGCAATACAGCGGATCTCCGAAAAGGTAGCCACTAGAATCTTTGACTAGCAGCCCAAATCCCAAAAAGCTACTGAACTATACTGAACTCGTAGTGATCCAGGATACCTGGCCTCTATGTTCAAGTTTCCACAGCGCTGGCGCCTCGAGGCGCTCTACGAGGATGGTGACTGGACGGGCACCACAGGGTGATGTCATTTTTATTCAATAGAGTATAATACAGACCACGCAACCGCTGGATCGAGGTGAGCTCGATGGCGAGATCTGTGAGACAGTTCCGCTCCGTATTTTGTCAAGCAGAGAGAGGGTGGAGTCGTTGCAGGTGAAGTGCACTTTGCTAGTCTTTCTACTTGTATTCTCTTTACCGAAGTCTTGGTAGAGCCGAACGGGGCTAACAGATTGATGATTGAAGCTTCATCGCTTTGGTTGACACAGAGCAATACGACAACACATTGAAATACGATGTAGCATATATAATTGCCATCAACCCTTACAAACGAGGACCTCTGAAAGCTGCAAGGTGCAGGCTATTTGCCAGCGGCTTTGTAGCCAGATCTCGGCTAAGGTTCCGTGCTCAATCCGTTGAGTGCTTCACCTCATGTCTCCCAAACGCAAGCTCTAAGAACTTTGTGCCCTCAGCCTTCATGATACAGTGAGGCACTAGCGCTGTTGTTGGCCGACAGCGGCTGGCTGCGCAAGAGGATGCCGAGGCGCTCCGTTATGTAGTCACGATATTGCAAGCTGCAGACATGACAAGTGATAGCCACAGAAGCATTGCGAGCCATGATAAGTGACACAACAGGCATGACGATGATGCTAATCATGCCCTCTCGGCCTTGCATAGCCAAAAGGGGTTCAGTTTTGGCGGCTTCAAGGTAGTACAGGGGCCTAAGCTTATCGGGATATGATGGCTGGACGTTCGCAGCTCCGGTTGGGAAGGGCTTCGGGCGTGTTGTTTTGCATTCCCGTTCCCGGGTTTCAGACCTCCGTGTCTTGGGCTTGCAGAAGCGAAGGTGTTCATTGTTGGGCGCAGAGTTCATACTGCGAGGTTGGTGCGAAAACGCAGGAGTGAAAGAAGCAGAGTCAACCGCAGCCTAATTTTCAATCCTACAATAAATCCCTCAAGCAGGGAAACTATGTTTCTGACAGACTGCTTAGAAAAAAGGGTCTTTCTCACAATCGGCACTTGGCTGCAACAGCCATCCCCGTGTTGGATCAGTGCATCTGCCCTCTTTCAGTGTGCCCGTTTTGGGATAGCTCTTCCCGACGGCTTGACGCACAGTCCCTGCATCGCTACGTGACACCGACACCTGACCTATGGCATTCGAGTTTCAAGCAAACCCCGCAGGAAACTCATGAATCCTTATCCTGGCCCTGAACTTCTGAGCCCTGCATGGGCCTTAAACCAATCAGACAGTCGTGAACATGCCTGGCCTGGACTGCCGAAGCCCTTGTCACACGTAGCCTCTACCCATACCAAAACTTACACGAAATTGTTGCCTTCTTCCAGGACGAACAGCTGATCGAGCTGGAGGTGAATCCATCCTTAGGCATCGATGTTGGGATTAGGGTTGCGCAGATGGGGTCAAGTGCACTGGGTCAAGTTATATAAGGCAGATCTCTTTTAATGAAACCAACAACATACAGCGAACAATGACCTGACTGAAAGGTTTGCCATATGCTGCTGACACTCCCTGTTGCCTTGTGCTGTGTTTTGCTTCTCAACTTTTTTTGCAGAACAAGACTGCAAAATCCACATGTCTCGCCGGCTCGCGAAGCTCACAGCACAGCTCTTCCAGTGTTCTGCGCGGTTGCCTTGCAAGAGATTCAACAGTAGTTGGTCCATGGACTCCACGGACCGGTAGCAAGTCAGCCTGGACCTGCTTGCAGATGCGAGGCCCGAAGGAAGCCTCCAAGCTGTATGGAGACGTTCAGGCGGGCACCCCGAGCAAAGCACGCAAAAGAGAGAGGGGAGGGAGAGAGAGAGAGAGAGAGAGACACAGAGAGAGAAAGAGAGAGAGAGAGAGAGAGTGTGTGTGTGTGTGTCGAGGGGCAACCCTCGCCCGCAGCCCTGGCGAAAGAAAGAGAGTGTGTGTGCGCATGTATGTATGTATGTATGTATGTATGTATGTATGTATGCATATATATTATATGTGCTTTATATACTGGTTTGTGTGTATGTATGTATGCATGCATGCATGCATGCATGCATGCATGCATGTATGTATGTATGTATGTATGTATGTATGTATGCATGCATATATATATATATTATGTGCTTTATATACTGGTTTGTTTGTGTGTATGTATGTATGTATGTATGTATGTATGTATGTATGCATATATATTATATGTGCTATATATACTGGTTTGTGTGTATGTATGTATGTATGTATGTATGTATGTATGTATGTATGTATGTACGTATGTATGTATGTGCGTCAGTGTCAGTGTCAATAGTGTCAGTGACCCCAATCCTGCATTGAGCCCAGGCCCGATTCATGTTGGCAGTCTTGCCTGGCACCCATCTGCAAAGACCACACCAAACGAAACCAAGACCCTGCAGGATCAGCACTGCCGCCTGCATCGGATGGGCACCTCCGCCAAGTTCTGACATTGTTACATGAAAGAGTGAAACAGGGGGAGTATATGCATTTTATTCTCGTAAGGTTGTGACGTGAAGCCTGGTCTCCTCCTGAGTGGAACAGCCAAGGCAACGACTTTTATGTCATGGCCCTGGAGTCTCAGATCGGCACATTGGTGGACGGACAGCTCCTCGGGAAAATGCAGCCGACCCGAAGAGCAAACAAAAGCTAGATCGAAGACCAAACGGGTGTAGCAGAACGCCTAACTGCAGGTCCTTTAGGCCTATAATACAACTCAACCCTAAACCCTACAAATAAACACTGCTTCGACTGAGATCTCCGCCTTCGTTTCTGGCAGAGCCAAGGAAGATTCGACACCAAGATGGGCCGGTGCCGATCAGAGATGGGACCACCTTGGGCATCGGGCTGCTTGGTGGCAAGATCTTCTGGCTGACCTGTGTGCTGAAAAGGCTCCCTGGAGGACGAAGTGGGGATCTCCGACCGGCTCATTTTTCAATTCTTGATCTGCAAACCGAGGCTCCCCAGAACAGCGGTAAGCCGTGAGGGCTAGAGAGAAGTTGGTTCCTGTTGAGGTGTTGCTGCCTTGTTGCATTGCTTTGGGAATGCGCCGCAGCTTGCGCAAGATGTGTACAGGCATTGGGTTTCCGACTCAAAGTACAAGGGCGAGGATCTCATGCCGGACTGCAGGAAATACCTCGTCTACTGTGAAGTCGGCAACGAAGCCTTCTTGCAGGACATTTGCCTTCACTATACTGAGTCTGACCCAACCTGCCGATGGCAATCCACCATGCAGTCAGTCAACTGTCTCAGGAAATCCTACAGCATGACGGCTCAAGCAAGATCGCTGCTGGCTAGTTGAGCCCTTGAGACTGAGCATCGCATATCGGCGATTTGGTTCGCGAGAGGGACAAGTGAAGCTGGGACTTCCGAACATGGACCTTTTGAGCATATCATGGAAACTTACAACATAAATTCCACCAGACTGCAACACCCATGGCATGTAATCCCCCCCCCCCACACCCCCACAACCGATAATTTGCGCGAATCTGCAGCCCCCCCACATCTTCCGGTTTTCTCTGTCGCGAGGACAGGCGGAAAAAGCTCCTGGCCGGCGAGAGGCCGTCTTTGAGCCGATAACATCTATCGCTCATGGGACCTAAACTCCCCAACAGTGCATGACCCACATCCGGGGACTGTGGAGAAAAGCAGAATTCTGATCGGGCACAGAGAGGGCGCAGAGGCACATCCCACTGAAAGCCTAAACCCCAATACGTGCAGCTGTCGGAACACTATCCGGAACCCTAACACAACGCTGCTCTGGAGTCGAGGGCCCAAGGTGGCAGGTACGGGTCAGGGCCCGCGGCGAGTTTTCCACAGGTTCTGGAAGGAAGGCAAAGCCAGCCTACAGAAGTCCGAGGAAGCTGCCGAGGCGAGACGTGCGCTGCAGCGTGGCTTTGAGCAGAGTGGGAAGGGAACTCAGACTTTGCTGAAACCAGCCTTGCAGTCGGAATCTTGCTGAATTGAGCCTGAATCGCCGAGACCTCGTGCTGAAGAGAGAGACTCTTGAACATGTAGGCTTTGTAGGCAGTGCCTGGTCGTGTGATGCTGAGTCGTGGAAGCCGCTTGAAGAAGCATCCCTTTTGGACTCCAGAATGGAGCTTGACACCTAAAGAAGAGGAGAAGACCAGAACAGAGCTGTTGACAGGTTGAGTCTGCGTGCCGCAAGCTCTATACTTGTAGGGGAGAGCCCCTTGCAGGCCAAGCCGGCAGCTGAGGACGGCGGTGGGACAGAAGCTCTCCTTAAGGGAACCCCGCTAGGACCCTGAGAATGTGTGTCGTGGTGAAAGCAGCTGCTTTGTCCGCAGGAGGCTGAGGCTGCACAAGCTGGCGAGGGTGCCGGCCAAAGTCTGCAGAGGTTGTCGTCTTTTGGTGTTGTTGGTCCTTTAGGTGGGCGACCCATGCGCGAGCAACAATAACAACCATCGTGTCGGCAGATTTCGGCCATGATCAGCACGAGAAGGTGGATCCAAACCCATATAAACAAAGGTCCTCAACATCCCCAAGTGTTCCTTTGATTTGGGATCCCCGCTTGAATGTGGCACAGGTGCTGACGATGATGAGGAAGACGAAGAGGCTAGCTGAGCTCACATTGGCGCTGTTGCATTCTCGGTGCACTTGTACGACTGGGGCCCTGCCGTACGGCCTGCGCGGTTCGCACTTTAATCAATGCGGACTTCCCAGGCCAGTCACCAGCTAGGCTAGTCAAGTCAAGTAGCCTACGACAAGATACTCATGTTGATTCTTGCACATTACCATCACTTGCCATCATTGTTATTATTACGGTCATTCTTATTACTACTCCGCCCATGTTCTGGCAGCTTGGGCCTGGCGATGTCCCACCCAGGCACTCGATGTCCTCTTTACGGCACCACCAGACGAGGCATCCCTCGGAATTCGAGCATTGCCGCCGCATTCCTTGGGTGAGATTATGTGTATGATATTCTGAGTTTACAGTATATATGTATGGTAAGAGCAGTTCATAGTCCCCTGTCTTCTTACAAGGAGCTCTTGAAGCACAAGCCTTTGAACCCCTTCGGTGGGCTTGGCTATGCCAGGCGCTAAAGCTTTCTCCCAGGCGATAGAATCCCATTGCTAGCTGAAGTAACTGTGTGTGTGTGTGTGGAAGGCCGAAACCGATGGAGTGACGAAGGCAGAGGCAGCGCCAACAGAGGACAGCCCAATAGGTGCTGTGTTACATCTGCCTGTGGGGTTTCTCGGGACAGAGCTTAGTCGCATCAGTCATCAGTTCACATGGATCAGGGGAGGGGGGGGGAGATCGCATCATCCGGCGTCCAGGGTCTGCATGCGGTGCGTGTTCACTGTTGGGTCGAGGTTGTTGTTGAGGTTTGCCTGCACAAGCTGCTCTTTCTGGTGCTTGGGTCATGTTGTCTACAAGGCGGTTACATTGCTGTTGATCCTGGTCGTCTTGCTGCTGGTGTCCTCAAGCTAAGCAGCGCATAGATGCGGAATCATGCTTCTGCAGTTGTGGGATGTTGTGGGCCGTGTCTTCCCACTGTGGCCTGCTAAGCAGAACGTAGTCGCCGTTCGTGGCGGTTACTGTTGCTTTCAGAAGCCGCATCTACACGTGGATTCGTGTTTTCTGTCAGTCTGCATGGTGCAGATGCTGTTTCTGCTGAAGGGGCATCTACTAACGTCACCAGCAGTGTTTGCATGGCGATTCGTACTTTCTTCCAGCATGTTTAGATTAAGCTTCTGGGGTATCTGGGGTGACGTTTCCAGGTTATGCACATGGCCTTCAACATCATCGGCCATGCGTTTCATCACATTCCCGAAGCAATCGCGAACGGCTTGCTTGAACAATCTTACAGCAATCTTGCAATTGTGCTGTTGTGCCACCGGTTCGCTGACTTTTTTCTCGCAGGTGTGCTTGTGACGCCGAGCATGTATGTAAGAAATTGACGGTTTTGGCTTTGATGTGCTGTGATGCCTGAGTGTCTCGCATGCCTGCATGTAAGTCCGACCGTTCCCATTGAGCATTGAGAATTGTTGGTTTGGATGTGCTGTGATTCCACTTGTTTGCGTCTCGTGCACGTGCTTGTGAAATCGCGTCTACATTGACAATGACTGGATAACCATGCTTTTCTGTTGTTTCTAGTGGACGCACCTTGCTGAGGCAGCGACTCCATGGGGAAAGCCATGTTGAGGGACCCCATCGCACATCCATGCCTGTAGACAGCAGACGCAACTTCCTGTGGTGCAACATGTCGCGATCCGATTAAACTCCCGCTGCACTATGCATAGTGAGAACATCGAAACCTCCGTCAGGGATGCAGTTTCGGGGATCCCGATTTTGCCCCTTCACAGTTTGTTCTTTTCATTCCACTGTGTTGGGTCAAGCCCGGGATTCACGTGACCTTGTTGCAGAGTTGGACTGCGGCCTAAATTTGCACCATGCATCGGCGCTTTCTGTCGTCCGGGCTTGTTCATGTAGCATGGACCACGCTTACCCACACGAAAAGAAGGAGCGCGGCATGCAACAATGCAAGTGCTGATGCCATCTTGCGTGTGCGCTTAAGAAGGTGCGGCGCCCATGCGTGGACCAAAAATTTGAATCCGATACTGTATAGGACCATGCAGGAGCCATAAATACCTGAAGCCTCCCTTCTCCTGAGGACGCAGACATGAAGCCCTCGGAGGAGGAGTCGGCAGTCGACCGTGAGTCGAAGAAGAGAAAGCGGGAAGAGGTCTGAAGCCCAGGTTGTCCGACCCCCCCAAAACCGGAAATTCCTAAGCCAGTCATCCGATCAAGCCATTAACAGCTCAAACGTACTGGAGGAGCCTGATTAAGACACCCTGGCCCTATAGCCCCTATATATTAGGATTCATAGTAAGAACACGAATGAAGACCCTTGCTCAGGTTTCTATGTTATCAAACGATGTGAGGTCTGAGGCTGAACGTTTGCTTCATGCCATTGAGTACTAATTCTCCTTTCAGCTGCTGTAAGTGCTTTGGGGACGTCCATCCTGTTGCCCATATGTAAACGTATTCTAGGGGCCTTAGCACTTTCCTATACTATTTTGGGGTGCCTTACTACAGTTATGGCATAATGGTATCATATACCTCCAAAACCTATTCTAATCATTCAGGCCCCTACATTAAACACTTGAACTGCAGGAGCTAGCAACGACAGTGCACATTTGATCTACAGTACTCGCGAAGTGCAGCCCCACGGGGGCAATCATGGTTTGCACAGGGTCAGAGCATCAGGGAGTGTATTAGACTTTTAAGTAATTCCTTTCCACGTTTGATGGAAAACTTCTGGGGTGCAAGCCTACCGAAAGCTCTTGAGATCTCAGGCGTGTCGGCGGATGGACAAGGGTCTGCAAAAAACACAAGTTTCACCCCAAACGCGTAAACCCTGGTCCTGGGACACTAGCCAGGAAGATGCTCCTATGCCTGAAGCCGTCACAGACGAGGCAGAGGAACACATGCCTTTCAAGAGCGCAAGAACTCAGATGAATCTAGGATGCTACCTGTGCGGGTTGGACAAGCAGGCATAGCTACATAGCTCTCCTTCACAAAATGTGTCTTGCTTACCACGGAGGTCCCGGCTTTGGATTGTGAAGAGATCCGGAATCGTGCAAGAAAGCATGCAGAAGCAAGCGCTACCTTTCAAGGTTATGCAGATTGAGAGCCCTGGTGAGAACAGCAAAAACCGCAATACTAGTAATCATAGTAGGAGTAGTAGTAGTAGTAGTAGTAGTAGTCGTGGTGGTGGTGGTGGTGGTGGCAGTAGCACTACTACTAGTGCTACTACTACTACTACTACTACCACCACTACAACTACAACAACTACTACTACTACTACACCACCACCACCACCAACAACAACAACAACCACAAGCACAACCACAACCCATCCCCAGCCGCAACCCCAACCACAACCAACCAACAAGCGACTGGCTTCGAGCTATTAAGTACTACCTCGTCTCTACTGACTAACTACCAATAGCTACTAATACCGCTGCTGCTGCTGCTACTACTACTACTACGACTTACTACTACT